TAATCAATCCTGAAATGGGTATTTTTATTTGTGTACAGTGTCCTGGTTCAATGAGAGAATCTTGAACTATTGGATAAAGATTTTGGTAAAAGTTTAAGATGTAATTTTTAATCTTCGGTCATTCACTGGTGCAATGATTTATGTGTCATGAATTGTATTTGTCAACATTTTGATAGAACATAATACATTAAGTTTTACCATTACAAGATAATACAAACTTTATGTTTAAACTATTCCCTTGATAGCTTAATAGCTTTTATAGCATTAGGTAGCTTAGCATATTTCCCCAAGTCAGATACAAGTGGAAACTCTATTTTAAACAGTAAATCACTCTTGCACTCACCCTATTATTCTGGATCATATGGTCATTCAGCCTACTAGGATACATTTGATAAAAGTTTACTGTTCCTACTTTTAACTGAAATAACATTGTAAAAGCATAGACAAAAAGGATTAAATATAGACTGTCAGCCGTGCTGTGGTTACCAAGGTTACCATAGGTTCTGGCGCACACCGCTGGGAGCGCCGTGTAGTTACAAATGTGTACGCCGTAACTACATGGCGCTCCCAGCGTCAAGCCACGGCCACCTTTAACTCCAGGCCGCGGCCTTGTAGAATTGGTAACGTTGCAAGTAGGGTTGTTTAGTGTCAGACATCCCATAAGATAACATGGCAGACAGGTGACATCAGCTCATTAATTCACGCTTTATTGATTTAAATTTAAATTTATGAACACAAATTTATAAAAATATTGAAAATAGAACATACAGAATTGAAAGTCAAAACAATATGAATTTAAAATCTATATCTGTACATTTAAAGCGGAGTCAATATTTTCATAGTCCAGTAACCAAGCTTTCGTAAAAACAAATACCTTTAGCTGCTTCTAAACAAATCAGCTGTTGCAACCCTACTAAAGGCGGCCTTGGTCATGCGCCAGAACCTATGTTAACCACAACACAGCTGACAGTCTATATTTATTTCTTTTTGTCTATGGTAAAAGTAAGCCAAAGTGGTGTATGATTAGCATCTTATCTATAAAATTGTAAATCAAATATATTTTTGTAAAGTTTTATATATTAATAAAATAATCTTTAACACAAAAATGTATTTTTCCTCTATTTAATTTCTTTAGGGGTTAAAATAATTTCTTGGAGCTCTGTTGCATGCTTGATAGTTTAGCATGTGAAAAATTGTTTTAATACTTTAATACTTTTCAATGAAATGGTGACCATACAAATTAGGTATATTTATGCCAAGTATGAATGGAGATGAGTGTAGGATGAGTGGGGCGATCTTGTAGTCTCGTTAGTGATTAAGGCCGACATATTCCTTAGACACAGTTGTTAATTAATAGCCCATACAGCTAATGGCAACTAAGGGACCAACAGTTTATAGTGGAATCCGAACCACATTTTTGCCTTGGTATTAACAAATTGGTCTAATTATCAGGATAGTACTGCGGATAGTCGTAGTACTCACTAGTGTGGACGTTAATCCACACCAGGAAGTATCACATCCACAATGCATGCCTATAAATATCCACAATTTGTGACCTCCTAGTAGTTGGATTACAGGACGTCGCCACCGTCCCAGTAAAAATTTAAAGGAACAAAATTAATAACACAGAGAGGGATGCTGCTATTGTTAATTGTGATAGCATGAACTTATTTGTTTATGAAACTATGGTTCCGCTAAAGAGCTAGGTATAAGTGCATAGTTAACTTAAAAAAATATTACTGGAAAAATATTTTACTTATTCATTATAAAAAAAAAAATGTCTTAGAATGTTCTGGGAACCAAACAGTTAGGACCACCTAAATGTTTCAAGGTTTCTTGTGACTTTTAGGACATTTCCAAACAAGATCCATTTTGGTAACAATAAATGGATTGTTACTTGTTATGGGTTTTTGGAGGGACAAATTTTAAGTATTTTGGTCTTTTCTATAACATATCTTTGGCAGTGTAGGGCTATTTGTTTTGTTGTAATTTAATAGAATAGAATTTTTTGCTCTCAAAGATACATTTTTATTTAAACGTTAGTAGACTTTTTACCTAATCAGCACCATTGGAGGTTAAACTTAGCAAAGCAAATGGTGTGCCAGTATGCTACTGGAATGATTACTGGTATTTAACCCCACAACACAACATACTAGCCATGTGTCTCAACTCTGGGCTAATATTCTCCTACTAGATTTTACACATTAAATCCATTTGGCTGATAGAGCAGATAATTTGGACTTCAACCTTTACCTGATTTTTTAAAAGAAATACTTTTACACCACACTACACTATTTTGACGAACTTCCCACGCAAGGATTTAGTCCAAAAAACAGCTGTTTGCTGCCAGCTTAATCAAATGGGGTTTCATTATGTACTACTGTACTGTAATGAGTTTTACCTGACACTAATCAGCTGATTACATACTCTCTTAGAGGTTATGACTAGTGATTGTTAGTCCTTTAGTTGGTGGTAATATATATGGATTTGAACAGATTTATTAGTATGGCTTAAACTATCGTACGTCACTCGTCCAAAATGTGTTTACCGGACTCTTATGGTAATCCCGTACTCAACTTCGTCTCGCACGGGAACGACCACACTCGTCCGGTAAACACTTATTTTCAAGACTAGTAACGTAATATACTATAGCCCCACAATAAATGTATTCTTTTAATACTATTCGTTGAAATGGCGACCAAACAGCTGTTTCTGCTGCAATATAACCTTAAATTCTATTGATATAAATATGAGAGAACAGGTGTTTGTGTGTAAACCTGAAATTCCATCAGTGAAAACCAGTGGTGTAGTGGAGCAGGAACGGTTCCTATTCTGCTTTTTCCAAAAAACCTATATTGATAAGTGACCATTTTCTAGACAATGGTGTGCGTTTCTGTACTAGAAAATTTACAACCACACCACTTTTGGACTGATTGTGTAGCCGAAAAAGTTCAAATACTGATAATATGGTAATGAATCAATAAGGGTTTAACACAAATAATAACTGTTAACTGTTATGTGTAATGAATACATTGTAAGTACTTTATTCGGTTTGAGTTTGTTTATAAGTGTTTTGTTTCATTCTCTCAAAACATTTCACTTCATAAAACAAACTGGTCTTTACAACCAGGTCTGTTGGTATTCGTTGGACGCTTCCTTTACAAACGGAACAAATTGCGGATTTGTTCTGAATCTAAATTAGTTTCAAACTCTTTCAGCTCTAACAGGGAAGAGTTTTATATTATTTATTTCTATATTGATTTTATGTGTGTTTCTTTATCAAGGGAACTAATCAGTATTTGCATTTAGTATAAAAATAAGTGCCATATTGTTTATTTGTATTTTTTCTTTTCAGAGAAACTAACCAAGTTCTTTGTTAACTTGCCTTAAATTGTGTCAATGAAAGGGGTTGAGTTTTCCTAAGCTATTCAACTATGTACTCATCTGATATTTTCATTGTATATTTGTCACCCTATTTATGTTCCAACTATGAGTTGGCCGACCCTTAGTGTTAGCATAACATAGTTTGAGTGTGTCATCAAAATAATGATCTAATTTGGTACAACTGAACTGAATGCTGCAAAGTCTAACCTCCTATGAATGCTCATTTCTGTGACACAACTGTTTTAAATAATTAAAGTAGGCAACCAATTCCCTGATTTTTAAATGCAAATATTGCTCATATATATTTTCAGTTATTACTTATTGCAGCTTGCAAAAGATCATAAAAAAATTATACTGATACCAACTTAATGAGTTGTATTAAATTTATAATGGTTATTTTATTTACTCATATAAAATGTCACTACATAGACATAAGACTATAATAATCATTGTTACTGTTATAATAATTAAAACTAAAATGTAAGTTTCAAAACGAAATTATGTAATTTTAATGTTAAGTCAACTCTCCCAATTTTCTCTAAATCTATTCAAAGTATAGAATGGCAATGGATTGGATAGCAAACAGTCTTAATCTTCTTGGGGATTGGTGATGTTTTTAAATTATGTATCAGGAACCAAGTTATTATATCTTATATCTAACAAAAATATATCTTTTAGGCAAGACTAGCTGTTGTACCCGTTTTTTTACAACGGTAAGAGGATGGTTTCTGTAAAAATGTATCATATAAGACTACACTTACAAAACTCGGAGACAAAGCCTTGGTTGATACAGCAGCGGTGATGGAGTCTTACCTATAATTACATAGTCATTGACACAATCCAGAACAAATAAACAACAAACTAAACCTACCACATAGTTGTGCAAAACATTATATATATATTTATTTGGATTAGCAGTTTGAAATTATGAAGTAAGCATTTGATAGTTCTACTTGTTTTGATAAGTCAGAACAAACGTAAAAATTGTGAGTATTCTCATCCTGCCATTGATACCAATCAATATTTACTTTTGAAAACCTCTCCTCACAACTTTGGAGGTCTACAGCTCGTAGCCCGAGGTGAACTCAGGGAAGTGAAAGGCCTAAGACATTCCTAGATATATGGCCCATCTATGTGCTTAAGTTGTGCTGTATCGGTTTAGTATTTTAGTCGTGTCAGTAAGACAGACAGACAGACTAACCGACACCACCTCAGTTTAATAACAGTATAGATGTAACCGAAGGTTTTTTTACCTGCTTGAACCTCACCAAATAATATACAGTTGTTTTAAAGTTTCATTGCCTTATGTGTAATTATTAAAGAGTTTACACCCTTTCTACCTATTTACAGCAAGAATAAGAGTCATGATACCGTACTGTATATAATAACAACTATTTAATGTATGCACAAAAAATTACATTATTTAATACCCAAAAGCTGGTTTTAGTTGAATGTTGAGTTAATGAAGTAAATTCGTTCTAAGTTTTCAAAAAAGACAGAAGTATTGTAAACTAAGTACTTTATATAATTTTGTAGAAACTGTTTTGTGAAGTATTAACTGATGTGAACAGATGTTTTACAAATTGTTGTCATTAATCATAATACCAAAGTTCTGTCTAAATTTTCAGTCTACTTGTAGTCAGTTAGTAGTTACAGTTAAAATTCGTAATGTACTCCTACCTCTTGGTGACTCTAATAATTTTTGGTAAGCAATTTTCTTATATGAATTAAATTTGTAAAAGTGGTTTTTTATTCTTTTTTCTGGCTATACAATTAAAGTTGGGATGTAAAATGTACAGAAATAACTGTTCGCATAACATTGTAACTTGCTCTAGTAACAGAATTTAACCATGACATTTCTTTTTATTCTTAAAACCAATGAAAAATAATTCAGTTTAGATGTTTACTTCTAATTATTTTTGCCTGTTAAATTATACAATATTAAACAAAAATAGAAAAACATTTAATTTAATTCACTGTTTAAAATTGAGAGCAAATATTTTTTCACCACACTATGATGTTTTAGCTGTTTTACATACGTTAATTGGTGGCTGAAAGTTACGTTTTGCAGGCCATGCGAACTGTCATGTTGGGGACCGAGCCGGTTATTACATCCCTAGGGCCGCAAAATTAGCTGCCCGCTTACTTTCTTAAACATGAATGCAAATAAATACACAATCAGTATTCATAGCATTGCAATATAATTGTTTTACTGTTATCGCTGCCTAGCAACTATTTATGATTATTTTTGCTGATTCCTCAAATTATTTCTTCACATAACCTTAAAGTTGTAGTTGTGTTGACTATGAGTGTGCATTATTATCGCGGTGAATAGTGGTAATAGGGTATGTGGTGAAAAATAGCGTTCGTACCACGGTACCGATCGTTTTAAGTTCTCGACTTTGTCTCGAGCTTAAAAACTATCTCGAGCCGGCAAAACCTCATTTTCGGCCCTAGGTACGAAATATAATATATAACAGGAGGTGTATCAACAAGTAGTAACTTCTTGTAAATTGTTAGTCTAAAATGATATCCTGTTTGAGAAATTTGTCAATTGTTAGGAGCAAATGAATAAACAGAGGAAATACAATGTTTACGAATATGTCTATTTGAGTTTGAAAACATAAAGAAACTTAATTGTTTTTACTACGAATCCTGAATATTAAACCCCTCGAATCAACATAATAATTGGTAATAATTTGTTAAGTAAGATCTATTCGACAAATCTATATGTACATTTTAATTTTTTACATACCTAACCATCAAACATTTCTTACAATCATGACATAAAATAAACAGTATCAGCAAACGGAAACATAATTTCTACCTTTACCTTGTCAAAAACTCTTATAATGGGTAAGCGGTGAGAGTAACAATTTGCATCCAAAGCTCAATTTTTCAAAATTGTTGATGTAAAACGACACTTGATTCTCGATATACTATGTATAGGGGGGAGAAAGTAAAATTATACCCTGGTGGGTAGCCAAGTAGCAATGTTGCTTTTGGAAAATAGCAAGGGTTAAGTAAACAACATACGTGAAACACATGTTTATAACAAGCCATCCACAGTACGCTATCAAATTAAATAATACAGTACAAAAAAAAGAAAAAAAGTATAATGTAACTGAGCAAGGGATGGGCATTGGTAAAAATAGTTCCGACCAAATACTGATTATTTTACTTGGCTCTCTCCCACCAAAACGTAATCCCGCTGCACTGTTGTTGGTACTGTATATTTTATTCTAATTTGTTTATGGTTTTAGCAAGCAAACAAATTGCACTCCTGCTGACTCGTAACCTTCTTCATCCTTACCTTCACCACGGGCGGGCATTAATTGCGCCAACTACTCCAGGGAGCCACCCGATAGTTTCATAACTGCTCCAAGTGGCGACCCTCTCCCTCTAGACTGTATAATTGAGTCGTTTAGGTTAGGTTACCTTAGGGTAGGTTAGTTTTGGTTTGGTTAGGTTACGATAACACTTAAATAAGGACATTCATTCTGCCGACAACTCACCCCTACCTGGCTTGGGCTTGGCGCAACTAAGGAACATTTGTTGGGGCCCTTTGAGGGCTTGGCGCAATTAAGGAACCCTTTGGCGCAATTAATGCACGACCTTCACCGCGGAGAGTGCGTGTCCTGCCAGTATTTTTTTTATTCGTAAATGTCTTTGTCTCGTCCGTGTATGTGTGTGTGTGTGTGTATGTTTATTAGTAAATAATGCCAAGCCATTTCATCCAACTGCTATTTTTGACAATGGTGGAAACAAGCCAAAAAATGTAAACAACCTACGTACTATTTGAGTTGTTTGTCAGATTATAAGTTATGTTAACCTATTATCACATTAAAATCTTAAATGTGTATACTAAAACATTTAACCACAATCTAGCAAGGCTCAATCCCCTAGTAGATAAAATATTATCCAAATTCAAAAGTACTATAAAATATGTAGGTATTAAATTCCAATCAAAACCTTTGGTTAAAATAACTCATTTTTATTATTTTATGGGTTTTATGAGAAAATATCCACTAAGATACAAAGAAACAACATTCTTTTCAGGATTCATCAATGGTAGCCATCAATGGTTCATTGGTGGCGCTTGTCAGTTCGGCTTCTATCGCGAAGATAATATAGGGCCGTGCGCCTATGAAGGGTTGACTTGCGCACACTGCCAGCCTCGATTGTTTGTGCGCCTGTTTCCAATATTCTTCTCAAGGAAAGTGTCTTACAATGGTTGCCGCTCTGTGGTCAAAAATGGAAAAACTGTAAAACTCTCATGCGCTGTGTGTAATCTGGAAAGAATTCCAAGGTGCTACCATTTTCCAAACGATCTACCGAGAAACTGTGAGTTCCGCTGACACGGAAACAACACACTCTGGAAGAGAAAATGAAGTGTTCATTAAACCACTGTAGTTATGTCATTGTATTTTATTACCATCGAGTTTTCACCAAACACATTATATTGTCGAGTTTGGTTAAAGCACAGACAATATCTTTGGCTAAAGTCTCTAGTAGTGTGTGTGTGTTGTCTCTAGTTCTATGGTCAAGTAGAAAATAGTCCCGCCACAGCAAACCTGCTGACGAAGAGAATTTCTATTTAATTCTGGTTGTATTTTCACTTAAATGTCTCCTAAATATGTCAGATAGATATATTCCCTATTTCCATAACATTGCTTAAAAGAGTACTTAGGTTTGCTGCTACGTGGGATGTAAAAGAGTTTTTTAGTTAAAATTGTTAATAGTTTACTGTGAAATAAATACATTTACCAAATTTGATCAGAATATATCCATAATAAATTAAACTACAATAGTGTTGTTATTCTCCACAATCAAAAGATCGTCTTGGGAATTTTAAGTTTATAGTTTTTGGGATTTTCTCTGTAACCATTACACGTATAACAACTCTTTAATAAACAACATTATTTGTTTATTAAGTGTTACACGACATCCAAATGTCACGACGTCCAATGATGTAAGGCACGACGTCCAATGATGGCACGACGTCCAATGATGTAAGGCACGACGTCCAAAATATAATTTTGAGCTGTCTTATGACATCCAATATGAACCAATCGACTGTTGCACGACGTCCAAATCTCATAATGTCCAAAAGTACAGTAACTACAAGAAACATAGTCTTTCTACAAGCATTGGACGTCATGGGATTGATCGTCGTGCAACAGCGCACTTTACCGGACCTTCTTAGCCTCATTCTACCCCATTTCACAATTAAAGATCGTAATATTTCAGCTATTTCTTAGTCGATCTTTTTGAACATGAAACCGTTTGATAGGGAATTAAAAATGCTAATTAAAAGTGCTCTTGAAACTTTTTTATAAAATCTGCCGTTTTTGTGGAATTTAAGTTTAAACACATAAAATTGCCACCATTTTGTAATTTTAAGTTGAATCAAGATGATTTTTTCTAACATGGGTCTCTTTTACCTTAACATACATACCAATATTCAAAAGGATCGTTTGAAAAAATTCAAAGATAAAAATGTTTATTTAAAAAATACAACTTGGCGGATACGGTATCTGGTTAACGAAGCGATTTTGGAAAACAATGTTATTCTTGATTTTCTCTTTATTTTGACCTAAGGAATCACTACGGAAATTATGTCCCCACCTATTTTGAACACCTTGTATACATTTATGAATTTGAATGGATGGTATTTTTGCCTCTGGGGACATAAAAACAAAAAAAGTTAAGTGGTACCAGGTCTTAACATGAGACCTACAGTAATAGCTTATTCCCCACATGGGAAATTTGCTTAAGATTTTTGAAAAATGATATGTACGGTAAATAGTTAAAAACGTATTTGTTGTAGATGTTAAATTCACAATTAAAGTTGAGTCTGAACTATTTGATTTAGCTTTTAAAAATTAAACACAAGTTTCCTTAGACACCAGGTAAGAAGATTTCAAACTTTGGCTATAAGCCATTTAGCGAACTAGGAGACTGTTACCAGCTTTAGAGCAAGTTCAGTAGATATTTAACAGGAATTTGTGAAACATTTTGAAGGCAACTATCTTAACTTACACATACATACTTTTGTTTGTTAGTCTATATAATTTTTAAATGACATATTAGTTCAACAAAAAAAGGTTTAAAACAGATTTTTAACAAAAAAATATCCAAAAATTAATTTTGTATGCCAAATAATTTTTAATGAGGTTTGTTAAGACAATAATGGTAATAAAAATAATTTCCTTTTTAAGCAATCTTTGGTGGTGGAATATCCCAAAATAAATAATCGATGTCAAATAGGTTTGTTAGGACAGTAATGGTAGTAATAAAATTTTCTTCGTTTTAGTTTCAATTTTTGGTGATGGAGATATCCTAATTATAACATGCCATAAATACTACAGGACCTAGTTTACAGAGAAAACGCCCATAGCCAATGGTTTCATTAAGCTAGCGTTTGAATTTTCAAATAAACTACACAGGGAAACAGATCCTTAATGTTGGAATAGAATGATATTTTAGATCGGTGTATTTGCACACATTAAAAAAATCCTCTTTCCATTTGATTATACTGTATATCAATCGTAGCATTATAAATTTATTAATATAACCATGTCAACACATGTGTTTTGTCTATATATGAGCATTGAAAACGCTCTATTGAATGCGCTTTAATGCGTATTTCCAAATTTTGTAATACAGGTCGTTTTATGGAAATATTGAAATATTCCCAACGTAAAGTATTTTACTTCAAACTTAAAAATTGCCTATTTATTTTTAAGAGTAAATCTTTAGGTGATAGCAGTGATAGGCTTTCTTGAATTTAATTTTCAGAAGTGGTTGTATTTTTATATCTAAACACCGAAGGCGCCAGACGTCGAGGCATATGATGCCAGACTGGATATGTCCTTTATGGTCGACAAGACTTTTAAACTAGTCGTAAAATATCACATAAAAGCTTTATTTGAGATTTGGTATATTAGAGAATACGCTTTATTGTTCGTAAGGGTTCCTTTCCACTATTCAGTTCATATTCGTTTCGATAAATTTATGAATAGGGAAAATAAATAATTGGTCCATTTTGAAATCGACTACTACTAAATTCAATACTAACTATTAGAGTGGACAATGTGTATGAATGTTAAAAGAAACAACCTGTTTTCCCATGTGATTTAGAAATCAGTAATTGTTCCAATCTGATAACAATCATCAACCAAACAAACACTGGGCCTACCCCCCAGGTGTATTTAGGTGGTTATACTAGAAGACTTCTAGTATGTTCGTATTGGAGGCCGAAAGCTACGTATTGCTGCATATGCCAGCCGACATAGTCATTTGGGGACCGAGCTGGTGTTTACATCCCTAGGGCCGAAAATCAGCTGTTCGCTTACTTTCTTAAAACATTAATGCATATTAAATACACAAGCAGTATATAATGCAATAGACTTGTGTTACTGCTGCCTAGCAACTATTTGTTATTTTTTCTGATTCCTGAAACTATTTCTTCACATAACCTTAATGTTGTAGTTGTGTTGACTGTTTGTGTGCATTAGACTATTATTGTGGTGAATAGTGGTAATAGGGTATAGTGTCTTTAGTGTGGGGAAAATAGCGTTCGTACCACGGACCGAAAAGGTTTTGCAGCTCTTGATCGTTTTAAGTTACTTAAGTTCGAGTTTTAAGTTTTACATCGTCTCGAACTTCAAACTCGAGCCGGCAAAACCTCATTTTCGGTCCCAGGTACGAAATATATACTTTTAAGTAAATACGAACAGCTGATTTTCAGCCATAGGGATGTTAAAACCTGCTCGGCCCCAAATGATGATGACATTTGGCATGGACAGCAAAACGCGGCTTTCAGCCTCCAATTAACGTTTGTGAAACAGCTATAAACATCATAGTGTGGTGAAACTCCTCTTGTACTCTGAATATATTTGATCGTTTTAAATTATTTAGCATATTCTGGTAACAAGATTTGAACATAGTTTCATGCTTCGTTCGCGAAGTACTTGCAAAGTTCATTAAGCTCTGTTGTTTGAACTTAACTGCTTGAGACTTTGAAGTACCACACTTCAGTGGAAGTCCTCAGGCTATGATGGAATATCCTGTTCCATTTGCATTAAGGTATTTCGATATATAGCCAAATGAAAAGCATCAGCAACCATCAGTCATCATTCCATCAGTTTATTGAATTGTGTAATCTGTAATTTCATTATCATTAATACAAATATAGGCTATATTGGTTGTTTATGGAAGTGGTAGATTTTTTGGCAGAATTTTTTATTTCCTAAACCTAATAATAAAACTGTGTTAATTTGGCCGTATTCTATCTCTATGAGCATTCTGGAGGTCCTGGACCAGACCCCACCAATCACTACTACATTTATTATACTATTTAATTGAGTATTCAATTAACATAGTTACCTACGAATATTGAATGAGTCCCCTGTAATTCACCAAAATTCTTCTTTTCGCAATAGTTACACGAATAACTATTTTCGATCACAAAGATAAATCCGTACTCGTATGTACTGGGAAAAATTGCATAACTTAATGTCATATCAATTGTAAGACACTTTATAATATTATCTAACATAGCTAGCAAATAATGTTCCTTTGTAGTCTCTTAAAACATGTAACTATTAAACATTTTTCACTTATTACATTAAATATTATCACTAATAATACTATTTAGATCACTACATCAAATCAAATCCTATCTAAGGTAGTTTATATGTTATGTTTATCAAACTTTAGAGTTTATCTTTAAAAATGATATCCTTTGACCTATTACATCAGATCTTATTTAAAATTCGTAGGTTTTATTACATTTTGCAGTGTATCACTTTTCCTCTCAATAATTAGTTTTTTCGACTCATTAAATTGAATCGTATCTAAGATAGATTATATTTACTACGCATATACGGAAAGTAATTTATTAAAAATACGTCTAATAACAACTGAAACATATATTTACCATGCACCAATGCTGTTAACTAAAAACCGATTATTATATATAAACGATTTATTAGGCCTATAGTTATATTTTGAACAATTTATGATAAAAGCTGGATGGGTGTCACAATATTAATTATATTTTACGAGTGTTAAACCCTGAGTATTGCCACAAACAGTATTATTTAGAGGCAAAGGATTTTAAATCTAGTTAGTTTAGGCGGGAAACAGTAAACTCGCTTCCAACGACGTGGCCGGAAAGCTGGATTTTAAAAACTAGTCAGATTCTATTTACTCGAAAACGTGTGTCGCATCAGCTGAGAATATGTCCGAAAAATAAACAAAACACAACGAAAGAAAGTTAACTAAATAGGAAAGGAGACGTATCAAAATGGAAAAATATAGCTATATATTTTAACATATGGACAAACATGAGTTTATCTTCATACTTGAGTAGACGTTTCACAGC